CATATTCTCCATACTGTTTTCTATACATTTCCTAGGGTGCTGACAAGGAGAATTTGTTTAACAATCAAAACCTTCGTCCTTTACACCCTAACGTCAGTATGAATATTCTCCATACTGTTCTCTATACATTTCGTAGGGGCAGACAAGGAGAACTTGTTTAACAATCAATACCTTCATCCTTTACACCCTAACGTCAGTATGAATATTCTCCATACTGTTCTCTATACATTTCGTAGGGGCAGACAAGGAGAACTTGTTTAACAATCAATACCTTCATCCTTTACACCCTAACATCAGTATGCATATTCTCAATACTGTTCTCTATACATTTCCTAAGTTGCTGACAGGGAGAGTTTGCTTAACAATCAAGAGCTTTCGTTGCCCATGATCATTTCTAATCACTCTTTAGGGTGAAAGGGTTAATGGAACTGTTGTCCCACGTCAAGTCACTTCAAAGAACAAAGGTGTTGCCAAAGTGGCACAGAACTACTTTTAATAACATAATAATTCTTTTTTCTTAGCAATTGGAATAGTTACTAACCTCTCTATAATAAGATGTCTGTTAGTCAACTGTTGCACTGTGATGGACACTTTCTTTTTCAGGTCTTGTCGTAATTTGAAGCAGTTTTTGTCCCTTGCTGCTGAGGAAAATCCCTTATTGTCTTCCTCTAGAATGTCAAGAGTCAGGTCAAATTTGAACACAAGGTTGCTCACACCAGTGATTGTTGTAGGGGTATCCACAGATGGCTGCTGCAACTGTTGCTTTCTCTTTGCAAGAAAGTAAGTAAACAAACAAACTTTCATGAATACAGTAACCAAAAAGAAAAGTTAAAAATTAAACAAAGGGCAACATGTTCAATTAATAATGGAATTAACCCATAAACAACCAATCAAACACTCAATAGAGAAAATTTTTCCTCCAAAGAAAAAGCGAAAATTTTCTAATATGACACCAGCAGACAAAACTGATCAAAATAATTCATTTGAACACCACAATGCAAGTTTAAAAGTCTTCAAGAACATGTGACTTGTGCTCATTTATCCCAAACTGAATAGAGATAATATTCCAATCAAATAGATAATATTCTAATCAAAACATCTTCATAAAGTTCACCATTGTTCTTGTTTGATTGATTTGTCCAAATTATACTCAAAATCATGGGGTTACATAACAGTCTATATGGCATTCAACCTTTAATATTGCAAATTCAAATTTTTTGTATCTTTGTCATAACAATTACTCAAATTAGGGAAATAACATACCTTCCTATGTCTTCTGAAGGAGAGAGCAAATGTTCTCAAGATCTTTCCAGCCTAAATAAATCAATTGAACTTAGATCATATTGCAATCAAGATTGATTAGTGTTGGAGGGAAAATTTAGGGGCAAATAATTTGAAGAAATAAAATTAAACAAATCTTGCAATGCTCATAACTATCTACCCCTTGTCTTGGATTTCAGGGAAATTACAAGTTTAAGTCAATATGATGGTCAACTCTCTTAGAGTCACAGGGTCCATAACTGCAACTTCTTATCCTAAGTTTCCATGGCATGAGGTTGTACAGAATACATTATTACACGACTCGGGAAGTCAGAGGGCCAATAACTAAAATCAACCAATCAAAATGCTCTATTGCCAGTCAATATTCTCTCAGTATTGGACCGGGCACTGTCCCGAATGGTCCCGAATGATACCGCACTTGTGTCCCTTTGAACCTCAGTCGTGTAATAAATCTCTTATTAACCAAGCTTGCTCGGGACCATACTGGAAGAATATCGGCCCTTGGTCTCTTTTGTACGGACCGAGCGTAGCAAGGTCCGTACTGTCAAGACCTCAGGCCGATATTCTCCCAGTACGGCCCTCGCACTTCGTTAATATGATATATATATAGGTCTACTCCTCTAGTGCAGGATGTCAGTTCATAGCAAGTGAACCCCCTATATTCCCTCAGGTATCCCTGATGGTTTCCTGCTGTCCCTGGGCAGAGAGGAGTAAGAATAATATTATGATCCCCCTTCCCTTCCTGCAAGGTTTGAATCTGAACCTCTGGATTTGGGGTCAAGTGTGCTAAGCATCAGACCATCACATTTCCTACAAATTCACAGAAGGAATGCTACTTAACTCTTTAAACCCTCACATCAGTATGCATGTTCTCCATACTGTTCTCTATACTTTTCCTAAGGTGCCGGCAAGGAGAATTTGTAGAACAATCTAGACATTTTTTAGTTGGTGATCATTTCCTTTGTTCTCTTGACTTAAGTGTTTAATTCAGGAGTGACACCGTGGGGAGAAATTGGATGCTTGTCACTCTTAAGGGCTAACCCCTTTACTGACTATACAATTTGCATATGCTAAATGATATAGTCAGTCCATCCATAGTCAGAGAGTAACATTCAAATCTCTGACACTAGAAATGTAAAATAACCTGGCCTCTAAACTCAAAACAAGTGAAAATTTTGAAAAATAAATCAATTTGTGTTGGCACAGGACTTCTCAATAGGGTTGACAGTTAAGAGGTTTAAGGTTAAGTTTAAGAAAACAAGACTTATTGATCAATCCTACTTTGGAATCTACATTTTATTACCAATTAAATGTGTCTTAATGGGAGACAAAATTCTTGAGGAAAACTTTCAGAAAATGATTGGCACGGGGTGAAACTAAAAATAGAATTTCCCAGAAAGTTGAGGAAACAAAACAAACCCATTCAGGGGAGGAACGTGTAATTTTCCCAATAAGTTGTTCGTGAGACAAGAAAATGGCCTCACCTTTTCTGGATCTTTACATCTGAATACATGGCAATGGAAAATCTCAGAATCTCCATGGACAGTATTGAAGGCAAAGCAGTCACTTTCACTTCCTTCAACATCACCACGACCACAAAACAAGATCCTCTGTATTTTATAAGTAGCAATGTCAGCCTGTGTCTCTGGGTCTTTAAGTCTGATCATCTTGTCCGATGTAGAACCTACATACAACAAAACATCAATGGTGACCTCCGTCTGTTCTCGCAAGATAGCCATTGTCCTTTTCAGTTCAATTTCACTCACTGGAGCATTCACAGTGGAGGATCCCAAATAAGTGATTCCATCATATGATATGGCATTATCATCGCACTCATCATCTGATTGTCCAGGATCAGTACTTGCTCTAGGTCGCGCTGACTCCTCATTGTCGACTTCTGCAACATTTGATGCTTGAGTTGTGTTGCTTTTATCACCATGGATGCTGTCATCTTTTGTTTGTGAATCATCTTTTACAACACATGGATTCAAAACCTGACAATTGTTTTCATGGGGTATTAATTCAATATTGCCATTTGCTGCTAATGAATTGTCATTAGGGAGAGGAGCATTGCGAGATTTGCTCTCTGAACCTGGACTAAAGAATACCTCTGGAACTGATGCAGAGCTATGAGAGAAGTCCTTTTTTGCATCCTCCACCAAATGCTGCAGCTCCTCCTCTGTCCTTCCCTTCTCCAAGGTAGCCTCCATATCAGGGATTATCACATCAGCAAAACTACTAACACTACTCCCCTGAGATTTACAAACTGACACACCTGAACCTGAATCAGATTCAACATCAGGTGTAGCAAGCATGATGTATTCATGGTCACTGTTTAAAGACTTTGAATCTGGGCTGCGAGGTTGCTCTGGACTACTGGAGTTGCTTTCCCCTGGCCCACATTCTCTACTTTCGGCAGTTTTCTGCTCAGCCATGAGAAATTCTGACAGTCAAGGCAAAGATGTCTGAAGTCAGCTGTTCGCAATATGAAGTAAACGTAAGATTCCTTGAATATTGAAGCTATCCTTCAACCAAGAGAAATAACTTCCTTTTTTATCGTTCAAAGGATCGGAAAATCCCCATCACGGCAGCAGAGCAGGATTTAATATTTACTACAAATCGAATGAAACCCTTCGCGGTTTATCGACTTGGAACAAGGTCTGAAATATTCTGACACCGTAATGGCCGTCGGTTTTAAGGGCGAAGACACGATGAATAATGTGAAATCCAAAACTGACTGATCAATGAAGGGTCAAACTAGACGATGAACTTCTTTTACAATGAAGATTTTTTTTTTAACTGATGACCCTTTTCGTCGATCTGAAGAAGAAAACGGATAATCCTCAGCCGCTCGCAGATGTCTTTGTTCTGAGATCAAATTCAGACATTTTGAACGAAAAAATGAAACTCAGATCCACAACTGAGATTAAAAGCCAAAATTTCTTACCTTTTATCAAGCGACGAGTGAAAAGGGATCTTCTATCTTCCCGGTAATTCTTAGCAATGGTTAGCGAATTAGACAGCAGTCAAAAATCGATCAAATCTTGTTCACAGATATGACGTCAAGAGACAAATGGAAGGAAACAGTCATTTGTCTTTCAATACAGCCTATTGGGTGCACCTTTCGCATTACTTTACTTTCACACCACAAATCTTCCCAAAAATAGACAAAATCGTTTCACAGTAGCCCACACAAACGAATTAACATCGGATGAACGGATCAAAATAAAGAGCAGACAGCCTTCACCAGTACCCGCGGCGCTTGCTGGGACTTTGCGATACTACAAGCCCTTTACATGAATAAAGAGTTAGGAATTTCAGTATGGCGGGCCTGCCTGTGCGGCGGATTTCTTGGAATATCTCGCCTATAAGAGGTATGGATGGGTCATTCTCCCTATACATGACACTATGTTGTTATATTGTATTGAAATGGATTTATGTGCCTTTTATTCAAGGAAAGACAATTATTTCATCTCTTTTGGCTCCACTGATGAGGTTCAGGCAGGCTTGTTCAATACATACCCACAGTTCCATACTTTCCAGCAGTGAACTGTCTTCTGCCGTAGAAACGAATGTGATTCGACCAGATGATGGTGGTAAGGTTTCTTTCTATTTCAATAGGAATTCGTGTCTACAGATTTCCATATGACAGAAGTGTACAAAAATTAGCTTAGTTACGCAACTAATCATGGAATATCGTGAACAGTAATATAAATTATATTATGATGTATTTCGAATTGATTACTCAGTTTTCGTGTCTCCCGGTCAAACTGGCCCAGTCCAAAAAAATATTCTAAAATCTGACCTGCTAAAAAGTATTTTCCGTCTCGATTTTCAATCTTGTGGAGAAAAGCAACCCAAACTACTAGTACTTTGTATCTAGGAGGTAAATTCTAACCTACAGGTATTTCTTTTTTATGTAGAAATTGTTAAAAATAATGAAGAAAAAAGCATGCTCGAACATCCAGACTACTTTGAGGTGCATAAACTTTTTACACTGAAAGATCTTTTCAATGCCAACGTCCATCTTGGGCATCATGAAGGCTGTTGGGACCCTTTGATGAAACCTTACCTCTATGGAGTCAGAGAGAAGCATCATATCATTGATCTCAACCAAACTGTTGTACATTTGAGGGTATGTACTTAAATCATGGTTTATGATTAAAAGATAACAAGAAGGGGTTCAACTGTGAGCCAGTGGGAAATTAGACTTATTGCCGGTTTTCACAGTCACACTATCATCAAAAACCATTCATTTAATAAAGTCATGAATCAAAGAGATGAAGGAAGATGAATAGTCAATCAGTCTTGCAAAGATTCAGGTCTGTGTGATTTTTGGTGCAGGAGATGTTCGGAGGAATGTTTACTAAGATTTACAATGCTTTGTATGGAAACACCATGTTTGTGTCCCTTTGGTGGCTGGAAGCTAACAAAAACATGTTATTGAGTTTTGCTATGAGAAGCTGTCTTCTGAGGGCTCATAAATATCTCCATGAGTACTTATTCTCATACAAGGAACATTCAGATTGCAAAATCTTAGGGGATAAGTTGCCTTTTTTAAACTATATGACAGCATTCTCAGCTGCCATTTTTATATCGTGTCATGCAAAAGCTTAGAAATTCTACCTTGTATCACAGGAAGAAAAACCCCACCAAACTTAAAATTTGGTAAAAGATATGTCTTTAGCTGTTCTAATGATTGACTAAACCAAAATCTCAAAAGGACTGATAATTCCTCATTTTTTTAATTTTGATGATGTCAGGTGAAAACCAAGAACTCTCCTGTAGCTTATCTTGGCTTCTGTATCTGAGTCTGTGGCATGTAACTGTTGTCGGGGACCCTGTGGTAAAATAGTTAGCTGGACTGTGGGTGGAGAGGTGTGGGTTCAAGACCTGGCTGGGTCATTTCCTTGTGTTTTTGGGCAGAATTCTTTACTCTCATAGTGCCTCTCTGAATAGGCCACCTGCTATTTTGCTACTCACCTAAATTTAAGATAGTGTAACTCTGCCCATGTGTTAGCTTTTTCGCTCACTAACTGATGACATTATCCTTTTATTCCTTTCAGCTTGCCTTGAATGTTCTTTCGCACATTACTTATAAAAGAGGGAAAATTCTTTTTGTTTCTACTCACCCTCAGTATGAAGAATTGACACAGCGCACTGCAAGGGAATGTGATGAGTACTTTGTAACTCGAAGATGGCGCGGAGGAACTCTGACAAATTCTTACATGTTATTAGGAACGATTGAACTTGTTGATCTGATTGTATTTTTGCATTTGCCATCATTGGGAAGAAACACTCGGGCAGTGATAGAAGCTGCTCAGTTAAATATTCCAACTATTGGTATAGTTGACAGTGACTGCAATCCTAATCTGATTATGTATCCCATACCTGGAAATGATGACACGCCATCTGCTGTTCAACTGTATTGTGATCTGTTTAAGAAAGTGATATTGAAGGCAAAAGAGGAGAGAAGAAAACTAGCATCTGATACAGAAGATGAAGATGTGGACAGTGATGGAAATGCATAAAACTCCTGTTGGACTTTCAGCTTTCAAGAAAAAAAAATCAAAAAGAAAAATAAAAGCACTTCAAAGTATTGACTGTGTTAAATAGTGTTAAACTTTACCCCTCATGTAGTTATTACTATTTCGTGCTATTTACCTGTCACATTTCAGAGACCTTACCCACAAGGAAGATAATCTGAAATTCAAATGTTCTGCAAGTCTAACTTTTCTCTCGTCATGGTCTTCCTAATTGGTAAACTGGGAAATTATAGGGAGGGTATTATTATGAGGTGACAAAAGTTGCTCAGGGTTGATATTTTCAAAAGGAAGGATGAAGCATTTTACCTTGCTCACATGAAGACTTATTGAGAATAACAAAGAGACTGGTTTTCAGAGGAGACTGAATTAGCAAGCTGTCAAGAATAAAACACGACAGTGCTGTAGTTTGTATTTAGTGCTCCTTTAATACATGGACCTTTGCAACTCTGTCTAATTGCAAGAAGCAACTGGGGAGTACCCACTCTTAATTCCAGCACTGCATCTCTAAACAAGCTGAAAGTGGAGAATCTTTCTTAAATGACTTCAAGTGGCTCAGGAAAAACTAAACCCCCCACCAAATCAGTTACTGTTGTTAACCGAAAATCCATTTTTGCAAAACCAACACATTCCTGTCTTGAAGAAATGTCCATTTTTAATCCATTTAAAGCACTCCATGCTTAGCACAGAAATTTAATACAAACAATTTTCAAAAGTTCAATAATTATTTGTTATTTACAATTGCACCAAACAAGCTCCATGAGCTAATTCTCATAAGTGTATTAATGTAACTATCTTACAAAAGCGCACTAGATAGATAGATTTTTTTTTTTTTTTAGATAGACGTTTATTGAGAAGAATACCTTAATGGCAGCTGGAAGCTGAATTGCAAAGGTGTACAAATTATGTAATAGAACTATACAATAAAATCAAACCTAAAAGGGAACTAATTTACATATACAATTGTAATAAATGTTAGTTAAAATGTCTTGCGCTTGCCGGAATGAAAGTATCTCTGAACCGATTTGTTTTAAAGGAAACTCTAAATGGTCTGCGTTGTCGTAACTCCATAAGTTGACCTCGGTTATCGAAAGGCAGTAAGTGGTACAAACAATCCAAGGGATTGGAGACGATGTTGTTAAAGAATTTTAAGCAAAGGTCTTCTCTCCGATCCCTTAGGGTTTTCAGCTCTGCCATCTGAAGCACTTCTCTATAATGATTATCATAACCGTATATAATTTTCAAGGCTCTCTTTTGGACACGCTCTAAACCTAAGCTCAAATAATTGGGGAGGCTATAATGGTAGACCTGACATCCATAAAGTAAGACAGATTGAATACAAGCAACATAAAAATTAACTAATTCAGGTGATGGTACCTTAGCTCGCTTTAACTGAGTTAAAAAGTAAAGGCGCTTAGCGGCCTTTTTAATCGTCTCAGTAACGTGAGTGTTCCACTTGAGGTTGTCTTGAAAATACACACCCAGTAATTTTACGACACTAACGGCACTAACCTTAGAGCCATTAATTTCTATCAGATCGTAGGAAGGAGGGGAGCGCACAAAGGAAACTCTTAGCTCATTACATTTTTTCGGATGGAGTTGAAATGAATTGAGTGTTGACCAGGTAGCTACTTCGTTTATCATAGACTGAGCATTGCTAGGACCACCTTTGCTTATGATTTCATACACTGTCGCTATAAAAGGAGCCTTAGGTCCCACTGGACCATTTGTCAATCAACCGTGATGTAGAACTCTTAGAGTCAAGTCAGCTTGAGCTACAGCTACTCCAAAGCAGTGAACAGCAGGCGCATTCCTCAAAACTGTTTTATGTCTTCATCACAATACAGGAATTTTTGAGATTTGTATTTCCTTTCTCCAACAGAAACTGTCTTTATTTTGTGGCGGTAAATTTGAGATAGAAGTAGGTGGTTCGCACGTTACCTCATGCCACCATGCTGGTGGAAGTAACCAATAGATATCTCATTAGCTCCTTTTGTTCATCTACCAGCATTTAAATTTGACCCGCACACGTCAACGGTGAGTAACAAATGAGCCTAGCGCGCCTTCGTGTTTAATGTTTACAATTCATTACTTTAATGAGTTAAATTTTTTTTTCAAATAACGTCTGAACAAAAGCCGTTTGGAAACTAGTTTTGCCTGATAGCACCTCTAAAGAATTTTTTTTTTTTGCGGCTAACTTGCACGAATACACTACTATATTCCAGTTAGTTATCCTCTTGTTTCTGAAAATGCTCCTTAACGTTAATAAATACGAATGTGTTAACTAATTATTTCTATATTAACTTGAAATAAATAAGCACGAAAAAGTGCAATAATTTTTCCAATTTCCAGCTAATGGGAATGCTGAAAATATATATACGTCATCACACACACTCTGGATTCGTATGTTCAGTCTTCTTTGACTTCTTCAACACAAACATATTGACTTTGGCTGATCACGGACAAAAATCATCCAATATCAAAGGTGTTCTAAATTTTGAACACATGAGAGTGACTATTTTTACGAATGAAAAATATCTAACGATCATAACCAAATAGTAAATGTATTGTATAAGGTAGCTGCTTCACGCGTTCAGTTAAGTCACTATTGAGGACATCTACTAGACCGTAAGTTGGACAACAACTTCAGTAAAAGGACACCTGGCAAATGAAGCCAACTATTTCTAAGTTAGAATAAAGCCAACTATTTCTAAGTTAGAATTTTGTAATATTTATACTGAGTTAGCAAGATTTGATCAATAAATTACAATTACAAAAACTTACCGGTAAGTTCAACATGTTTCAATTTACTATAGGATTGCAAATGGATAAAGGCCGTATCAACGAATGCTTTGGATCTGTTTACAGATCTCTCGAAATCGTACTCACACCTTTCTTTTTCTAAAGCCTATTTCATTGTTCTCAGTCCAGTGGACTGTGTAAAACTGGCACCAGTCTAGCAAGATCTCTAGACAGGCTAAATGTTCTAAGTATACTACAGCTCTGTCACTGTTATCAACGTCACTGACGGACGAATTCCTCCACAAGACCTACGTCAGTGACGCACAAAGAGATGTCTCGTTCAGTAGGAACATCGTCACTTCTCCCTACTTGCGTCTGCTCTTATTTCTCCTCATTGCGAGCTGCCATTCCACTCACAGAGAAGTACTTGGAATGTCGTCCGCCCTATCTGGATCGGTTGGTTCCTCCTCTGCATCTGACATGCTTGTGTTGCATGGACGAATCAAGTAACTGAACGAAAATCAATCAAACAATCTTTAATCAATGTGACCACTTGCGTCTTACGGTAAGTGTAACTAACTGACTTTAAAACTGGGTGTGAGCATGCTAATAAATTTAATTTAACCTTAATTCGGAAGTATGTTTCTAGCGTCAAGTTCCTCGTTTATTTTGTTATCCCCGTTTGCTTTTCATCCGGCGGTACAAAACGATCCAATCAATACAGAAATTCCCAGAATGAGCAACCAAGTAATGGTTGAAAACGCCTGCTCTCAAGAACTTCACACAAAAATAACGGGACTGCTTATAAACGAGTTATATCTACTTAGGAAATAAGTAGTTGCACAAGGAAACACGTTAAAAACAACTCAAAGATAAACTTGAGCGTAACGTAATGTACGTGCCGAATTTCAGATAAGAATGTGAGACGTTACTAATGAGGAGTTGAATTATTAACTCGAAATCCTTCCTTTTCGGCGAGGTCTGTCATGCGAGTCAATTAGGGACTTTAAGAAACCCCGACGGCGACGCCAAGGAAGACTTCGATTAAAAAATGAATTTCTACTCTTAGTTAGAGTTTAAAAAATGGCTGCAGGAGCTTACTGTCTCATACAGCGCCACAGCTCAACTTCAGCATGACGTATAAAGTAGCCTTTGAGTTCCAAATGGAAATTAAAATAATTTGCCGTCGCGGTTTCGGTTCGCAGACGACGCAAATTTTGGCGATTTCACGTTGTTGTTTTGCATAGGACGGCCAAGAAATGTACAAAGTTTCAAAACGCACGTGCTYAACTATTGTTCTGCCAATTAGATCTCTTGTTTTTCCACGTCCTCGTTGCCGTCGCCTCGTGATTGCTTAAGGTCGTTGTTGTTTTGCATAGGACGGCCAAGAAATGTACAAAGTTTCAAAACGCACGTGCTAAACTATTGTTCTGCCAATTAGATCTCTTGTTTTTCCACGTCCTCGTTGCCGTCGCCGTCGTGGTTTCTTAAGGTCCCTAATAAAAATCAGCGAAGAATGCACTGATGTTAACGCACCACACGGAACTCTGGGAGTGACTCTGGAGCGAGGCCCACGAATTATTCCCGCTTAAAACTTATGGCGAGGGACTATTCGTAGTCTAATCTCGGGGCTACATCTAAAGAAACCAAACAGGAAAGAGCTCTCTCTGCTACTTACATGATGTCACCGATTTGTAATCGAAACTCGGGATTAGGGTTGACCACCACGTAGGAATTACCCGACCTCTGAGTCATATCGGCTGCAAAAAAAGTATAACAATCTCTACAGTGAGGTGCTCACGGTGTACATTTATGCAGTAATTACATGTTGAGCTCTACAAAAGCAAAAACAAAAAACAAAAAAAAAGAAATATTCTTTTGCGATCATTCAGAGAAATAAAATGAGAAGCCCAAACCTTAAGCTATCACAGTGATAGAAAATGGCAACATATACGAATTACTATAAAAGTGTTGATCGCTAGCTCGCATTATGTAGAAATTGCCTGAAAAGAATAATTTCCATCCACACCAACACAACAAACAATTCATCTGGATTCCACAAAGTGTCACATAGACTGTAATAGACTCATCTTTACTTGAATCTGATAATTACTTTCACTCTGGTTTCCAGAACATCAGTACTCCTTTTAAAGAATACCCTAACCCGGACAACAAGACGACACGATCGCCCTCAATTTTGTACAATTTTTCGTAAGTCTCGACTTACGAGTTCCAGTAATGTTCAAAACTTTCATCCTGTTTTCGATGATGTCTGAGATGTCCCTTGTCTCCTTTTTTCTCATCCTTGGGAAGGCATCAATACTCTCCTCCTGAGTAAGAACGCAAAGATGGAAACTGTGGAACAAACTGCTGGTAGAGGGGCAATTTTGTCCAAATGCAAGCAAAGCATCTCGTCTTCACTGCACTTGTCGTTTGTGAGAGGACGACTAGTTATACAAAGAGATCTATGATCTTTCAAGAACTGACGATTTATTATTATAACATAACCAAAGTAAAGCGCGCGCTCTGATTGGTCAATTTAGCGTCCCCCATTTGCCCATGGGTGTACGCTGCTGACGTGAGCAAATGCAAAGACTATTTTTCCGCGCGCGCTTGTTTTTTCTGGTCGCGTAAGATTTGTTAAATAAAAGGGAACTCTTTAGCTACAATGTATCAATGTTATGTTATAAAACAAATGGTAAACACCACAGCGTACACTATTGAGTTATGGATGCACTTGGGAGGTTTGCTAAGCACTCAAGAAGCTAGAGTCGCTCTCGGCTATCGCCTCGAGCGACTCTTACGCTTCTTTCGTGCTTAGCAACCTCCCGCGTGCATCCATAACTCAATAGTGTACGGTGTGGTGTTTACCATTTGTTAAAGAGACAAATCAACATTTGTTTTTGTTAGCAATGAGTACATGATCTATCAGGTGAGTTCCTAAACCTTCATGACCAGGTTAAAAGATAGGCAACGTAAGTCAACAAGCACGCTATGTTGTATTCCACGAATGCCTTGATTACCTCTTGAATATGTGATCGATAGAGACCAATAGGAATGGCAAACGTTGTCGAGCAAAGTCGCTGGAAAAGCCTTCCATATGTTTCAATCCAAATGTTATCTTCAGTGATTTTCAGCTAGTGAAATACAAAGTGTTAATAGCTATACTGAATCTGTACTGCCTGGTATGCAATTTCGACGTTACAAAGCTAGTGCTTTTGAAACATCATTTCTATAACGGCTGAGGTTAGTGTCGACCATTTCATGCTTTTTTAAGAGCAGGTTAATAAGGTGACAAAATAATCCAGCTTTTCCTTGTTGTTGCTGTTTTTTCCACTATGCTCTGTCATTAATTCACAAAACTCACGACACTTCTTCAACCCTTCAAATGTAAAACTTAAAACCCACTTCTCAGTTATTCTTGTTTTCCCCGCTTGAGACAGATTCCTTGTTTTTACTTAGAGTTTCATTGGCTAGTTAGTATATTTCCCTTCTTACTATTTGCCGTTACTGTTCACTTTAAGACTCTATGCTAACTGAACGATTTATTATTATAACATAACCAAAGTAAAGCGCGCGCTCTGATTGGTCAATTTAGCGTCCCCCATTTGCCCATGGGTGTACGCTGCTGACGTGAGCAAATGCAAAGACTATTTTTCCGCGCGCGCTTGTTTTTTCTGGTCACGTAAGATTTGTTAAATAAAAGGGAACTCTTTAGCTACAATGTATCAATGTTATGTTATAAAACAAATGGTAAACACCACAGCGTACACTATTGAGTTATGGATGCACTTGGGAGGTTTGCTAAGCACTCAAGAAGCTAGAGTCGCTCTCGGCTATCGCCTCGAGCGACTCTTACGCTTCTTTCGTGCTTAGCAACCTCCCGCGTGCATCCATAACTCAATAGTGTACGGTGTGGTGTTTACCATTTGTTAAAGAGACAAATCAACATTTGTTTTTGTTAGCAATGAGTACATGATCTATCAGGTGAGTTCCTAAACCTTCATGACCAGGTTAAAAGATAGGCAACGTAAGTCAACAAGCACGCTATGTTGTATTCCACGAATGCCTTGATTACCTCTTGAATATGTGATCGATAGAGACCAATAGGAATGGCAAACGTTGTCGAGCAAAGTCGCTGGAAAAGCCTTCCATATGTTTCAATCCAAATGTTATCTTCAGTGATTTTCAGCTAGTGAAATACAAAGTGTTAATAGCTATACTGAATCTGTACTGCCTGGTATGCAATTTCGACGTTACAAAGCTAGTGCTTTTGAAACATCATTTCTATAACGGCTGAGGTTAGTGTCGACCATTTCATGCTTTTTTAAGAGCAGGTTAATAAGGTGACAAAATAATCCAGCTTTTCCTTGTTGTTGCTGTTTTTTCCACTATGCTCTGTCATTAATTCACAAAACTCACGACACTTCTTCAACCCTTCAAATGTAAAACTTAAAACCCACTTCTCAGTTATTCTTGTTTTCCCCGCTTGAGACAGATTCCTTGTTTTTACTTAGAGTTTCATTGGCTAGTTAGTATATTTCCCTTCTTACTATTTGCCGTTACTGTTCACTTTAAGACTCTATGCTAACTGAACACGCTATGCTAACTGAAGCAGACAGTTTACATCTATTGTATAAAACTTCATTATCAAGTTGTCTTTTCAAACATTGTTTCCTTACTGAAGAGAGATATCCTGATCCAGGTGATTGTTCACAGCCTAACAGAAGTCTGACCAGGTATATCATGTAATCCTTCACAAATGCCTACAATGAAAATACAAGCAGGTTTAAGATTAAGCACGTCATGGTGATACAATCAAGGGTGCAACGAAAAAAAAGGGAGGGTGACCTATTACATATTACTGCCACGCCCATTTTGTCAAGAAATTGATAATTAATTTATCATAACAAATCGACCTTCCGTGCTTACATGCCTCCTCCCCCACTAAAGAATCCGACCAACGCCCCTTGGCAGACCTATGGCCTCATAAATAAATTTAAGGCGAATTTGCCGTAATGAAGGATCTTAGATACGCTTAACTAAACTTTTCAACATTTTCTTAAATAAATTTAAGGCGAATTTGCCGTAATGAAGGATCTTAGATACGCTTAACTAAACTTTTCAACATTTTCTTAAATAAATTTAAGGCGAATTTGCCGTAATGAAGGATCTTAGATACGCTTAACTAAACTTTTCAACATTTTCTTAAATAAATTTAAGGCGAATTTGCCGTAATGAAGGATCTTAGATACGCTTAACTAAACTTTTCAACATTTTCTTAAATAAATTTAAGGCGAATTTGCCGTAATGAAGGATCTTAGATACGCTTAACTAAACTTTTCAACATTTTCTTAAATAAATTTAAGGCGAATTTGCCGTAATGAAGGATCTTAGATACGCTTAACTAAACTTTTCAACATTTTCTTAAATAAATTTAAGGCGAATTTGCCGTAATGAAGGATCTTAGATACGCTTAACTAAACTTTTCAACATTTTCTTAAATAAATTTAAGGCGAATTTGCCGTAATGAAGGATCTTAGATACGCTTAACTAAACTTTTCAACATTTTCTTAAATAAATTTAAGGCGAATTTGCCGTAATGAAGGATCTTAGATACGCTTAACTAAACTTTTCAACATTTTCTTAAATAAATTTAAGGCGAATTTGCCGTAATGAAGGATCTTAGATACGCTTAACTAAACTTTTCAACATTTTCTTAAATAAATTTAAGGCGAATTTGCCGTAATGAAGGATCTTAGATACGCTTAACTAAACTTTTCAACATTTTCTTTCGACTGCGACCTTGCAAAAGTCTCTTCAGTCTCACCCTCAACTCTCCCACATTTCCAAGCTAAAGGATTTCCCAAAGAATTCTATAAATGAATTTGTGAAATCATAAACCCATTCCCGAGTCACCCAAAGCCTCTGTTTTCAACCGAGGAGGAAA